ATGTAGCCTGCCAACTTCAAAAAACCCAGAGCTACTACTTCAGTTTAAGGCCAGTAGATTGTATTTTCCATGTCAGTTTTCACTAACCTCAGACAACAGTATAATGATGGACTGACACCCAACAAAACCAGCACGACAACACCATTCAAACAAGCAGAAGGAAAGAAAACACTGAAGAAACTTAACAGCCCAGATAGTAAGTGGTCTCTGTGTGTGTGAACTACTTTTGAGTAATATAACTGTGTGCTGAAAGAATAGCCTTTAAAGCAAGCAAACAAGTAAACAAAAGTCCCTTCTTCCCCATCAGTGTTTACTTGGTTGGTAATTTCTTTTTGTCCCATTTCATGCCATCAGCATTAGTGGCTGAAGGGGTGTACTTGGCCAGATGTCAATCACAATATCTGACATAAACAAAAATAGCTAAAAAGACAATCCTGCATCTTCCTTTTGTTTTACCACCAGCTCCATTTTTCTTTTCATGGGCTGACAAAAAAATTACTGCCTCCAAGTGATTTCAGTAATGTCACCATATATCTAATATCTGGGAGACCTTTTGTTTTAGCTTTACTGGGCTTAACCACAAAAGACATTTGACACTGACAAAGAATGTGTCAAATATACAATGATCAGTGCATTTAAATCTCTCCTGACAGAAGGGAACGAATACCCCCCCAGAGCAGTAGCTTACTGTCTGAGGAAAATATGTTAGAGCCTATATAGCAGCTGAACTTTTACATATTGGACCACAGGTTGAGATGTATCTTGTTTAAAATGTCAGGGCATATTAGCATATTTAAAATAGTCAAAAGAGGAGAAAAGAGTGTCTGGTGGATGGAAATGCTACATTGTTTGTATCTGGAGATTAACCCCAAGCCAGAACTGAAGTATAGGAACACAGTTCAGATTTCTTGAAGCCTCAGTATGGTAGAAAACAAGCCTGAGAGTACATACACCTCTTAAAGTGTGAGACATGAAGTTGTAGTTACCATGTTTACACAACAAAGCAGAAACAGTTAGCATCTCTGGAAGAGATATTGCTTGCTCAGTGATCATGAGCCCTACCCTGGCTCCATTAAGCCTGTATTGTGCATAGGAACTGAACCAGCTACATGGGGACTCCTCTGGCACAGCTGGCAGAAAGCTGGTGTAGATCGCCTTACATGGTGGGGAGAAAGGCACATGCCAATAGTAGCCAGGCATGGCTTAGTGCAGCTCTGAGGCTACTCTGAATTGCACAGGGGACTGAACTACACCCAGCTGACCTCAGGATTGGGGAAGAAGAAAGCTGGGGAAAGGCCTCTTTCAGTTGAGTCAAGCTGCACCAATACAGATCTGGTCCTCTGTCACGGGACGATACTCTGGAACTACTCCATATGAAGCCAGTCAGGACTCTGGGGGAGCATGCCTCCTCTCTCTGAGCATTCTATCACCAGGGCAAGAAGCTTACACAGCTTCGACCTTCCTGGATCTGACCTCGGAGCATTCAGCATCCCCTTCCTCCCTGTGTGCTTCCTGCAGTGAGTCCGCCCGGGAGGGGCTCCTGGGGATGCTAGAGGGGCCTGCACCCCAACTCAGCAGTCAGACATGACTTTCAGCCAGCATGTAGAACAGAAGGGTTTATTAGTTGACAGGAACACAGCATAGAACAGAGCTTGCTATCACAGAAATCTGACTTTCAGCCAAGTCCATCTTGGGGAGTCCTCGGCCAGATGGCTTGGACTCCCCCTCTTCCAGTCCCCCCAAGCAGACTGCCAGCTTCCAGTGACCTGACCTCAGACAACCCCGTTGCTGCTCCTCCTTGTCTTTGTCTCACTTTCTGGGTTGCACTCCCCTCCTGGGTCTCAGGTTACGAAGGGCACCGGTCATAGCATATGTGCAGGCAGCTGGAGCAGCCTCACCTGCCCCAGAGGTCTCAGCCAAAGTCACACAACCCTATTCTCACCACCAAGTTATTGGTGCAGCACAAAGGGAAACTGAGGCACGCAGTATTTATGCAAAACAGTAAAACTCACATACAACATAACAAGGGAAAATCCCCACTTCGTCACACCCTTGCACAGCTAAGGCACATGTTTAAAGTGTGGTTCCACTCTGAAAACTGACTTTCATCGGGCTCCGTGTTTGCCACTTAGTGACTCCTTAACAAAGGTGCCCAGTTTACAAGTAAGAAGACTTTTTTAACTGCCAGCTTTGCAAACTCAACTTGTCCGTCAAACTAGGGTCTTTTCACCACCCGTCATAAACACAGTGCAGGCCCCTTGTCTTCAGGAGGTTGGCACAGATGTAGCGATCAGGAATTAATTTTAAAAAAATCTGTTGATGGATTAGAATCCACCTCACTTTATTGGCTCCTGCAGTGCTGACAAAAGTAAAAGGTAATGAAAACTTCTTTTTATAGTTCAAGTCATCAATCCAAACCGGGATCACACCTGTGAGAAGGTGTGAAATTTAAGGCACTTACTCTGAACTCCTTTTCAGTGCCGTCAGAAGGGAAGAGATGTTAGGACTGAGCCCTATTTTTTGATGCCAGTGATACAATTATTATTTTTCCCAAATTCAAACTACACTTAATGACATCGTCTCTCAAATGTCTGCTCTAGGCCCATAAATGTGTGTGTGTGTGAGACCCTAGCCACATGTATGTTATCTGTGTTTACCATTGGCTGTTGGAATCTTTGACTAAATGCCTATATGGTACCTTGCAGATTGATTTCAACGTGGTGCTAGGAAAATAACTGAGGATAGGTCCAGGCTAGTTCCTAAAAAACAAATCTTGGTCCTACTGTAGTTTAGGGAAGCTATGCCATTGATTTCAGTGAGACCAACTGCTAACTTTATTGCTCAGCAATAAAGAAAGCACTGACTGCAACAGACAGGCAAACTAAGGTCTCTACTAATGTGATTTGAGGTTTAAAAAACAGACTCGTTAAGAGAAGGGACGATTGTGCCAAGTTTTTTCTCTTGGCTTTATTCTGAAAGCCTGGCTAAGGTAGTAAGAAAATGTATTTCAAGAAGAGGGGTAGCAATCAAATTTTTAGTACTGTCCATGTTATTAAATATCTATGGGCACCAGTACAGTCCCTTGTTAATGAAATTGTGTCATATGTATGTTTGGCAGATTATTGAATACTGATTCTTAAATATTTTACTTTGCTATATGCTGTATTTATGGGTTCATCTGGGTGATGGTGGAATACCTGAGAAACTTATAAATTTCAAATCCCAGTGATATCAGAGTAATTTCCAGATCAGATCTTCTAGAAGATGTTTCAATACCATGGACAATTGCATAGTCATAATGTGTTAAACAGAATAGTCCTGTTTGTGTAAAAAATAATTATGAGACAGCACCAGCACCTCTGTCATTGGGAGCTTAATGCATCACATAGTGGTTCAGGGCAGATCTTTATGGGCAAAAATCTTGGGTGATTCTAGTCTGGCCTTTCTGAGAGATCACAGAATACATATATGGAGATATACCTATTTCCTAGAACTGGAAGGGACCCCAAAAAGTCATTGAGTCCAGCCCCCTGCCTTCACTTGCAGGACCAAGTACTGATTTTTGCCCCAGATCCCTAAGTGGCCCCCTCAAGGATTGAGCTCACAACCCTGGGTTTAGGAGGCCAATGCTCAAACCACTGAGCTATCCCTCCCCCCCCTAAGTATCAAATTTAGCTATCCCTCTCCCAGTATCATACTGGGAAACTGGCTAGCCACTGTCAAAGCTGAGTTTTGTGGTTATGGGGTATTTTTGTCAAGGATGCTCCTTGCCTGGTGGTGTTTCTAGATCCTTGATGGCTCCTGGAGTGCCAAGTGCCATCAAATGTGAAAGTGAATTTATTTTTTGGCTAGACTATGCTCTCTCAAGTCTTTCCAGTATGGACCTTATCACTGTTGTCATGCTTTTGTGACCACCTAATAGGGTTATTGCAGAAATGCGTTCTGCAGGAGGCTACCCTTGAAAACTATCCCACTTCAGCTTGTGTAGAACACAGCTTCCCACTTGCAGAATGGAATCAGCCAGGAGAAACATGTGACATCTGTTCTTTGGAGGCTGCTCTAGAGTCCAGCGCAGTTTCTGGTCCAATCCAATATATATAATTTAATTTATTTTTATCTATGAAGCCCTTTCTGGTTTCAGTCCTGGTTACCTGATTACATCTTTCCTAGGCACTATCTCAGCAGTTAAGATTAACTGTTCAGCTTTCAATCACAAGCCCTGCATTTAAACATGTGGTCGCTGGTACCAGGGTGTTCTCAGAAGGGCTGGGGACTATCATGCTGAAACTTGCTCCCTATGTTGAGTCATTGGAGACAGTCTGTGGTATCTTTAGTTACAATTTCAGGATTTGTTTATTCCTGGATTGTTCCTGGAGAGAGGGGGTGTGGCAATGCAAGGGAGGCTCTGGAGCCATTTCAAGGAGTGTGGCCTTTTAATGTCAAATGAGCCTACTCTGTGAGTCAAAATATTCCATAGCAATCCACGTTCCAGAACAACAGTATAGACTGAGCCATCTCTTCACTCTGCTTCAAGCCCAGGTTAATGGGCTTAGTAGAATGGTATTCTGCCAGGGATGAAATCCTCCTGCCAACCCATGAACATCAGTGGAACCATTTCACTGCAGCCTAAGATGGCCTGTAGTATCCATGGTCCGAACTCCTACACAGCTTGGCTTTGGCTTATGATTCCATTTAGTTGTAGATACCCCAACACATTCATCCATTGCAGTGAATGGAACATAGCTCTGTGGCTCTGTTGCATAAGGTGTACACAGTTCTCTGCTGGGGCTCCCAACTTCCTCCCAGACCCAGAAGGAAGACTGTAGGGCCACATGCATTCCTGAAAGTGGGGCAGGATTTGACCCACTATAATTAGGCATTACTGGTAGAGAGCAGGATGGCCATGAGGAAAATACTTGTTTGAAAGACTGGTTGTGTTGTCCGGTGTTAGTAGACAGCTATTTAAACATGGCTCATATGCATATTCCTTTGCATTTCAGAGTTGCTGACCCAGCGTGAAAGGCAAGTCCCAGAATCGAACCCAGATCTTTCTCGTGGCAGCACAAAACTGCCATATGGCTACTTGTCCTCTACTCAATTCATTTTGAAAAAGTCGACCTGGGAAAAATCTCTCTCTGGAGTCAGAGTTTTGGCTGGAGTGCATGTAAAAGTCAGAGGAGAAAGCATGTCAGTTGCTGTTGGACTCTGTACACAGCACTTCTGATAGGATTCTCAAACTTCTGTCATGCCTCAAATGTTATACTGTGCAAGGATGTGCTTACACATAATTTAGTAATTGAAATGGCATGTTTACTGTTCTATTTCATGCTTGATTGTTTTTTTTAAACACCTTTACTCATGCTGTTAAAAGTGGGATTATAATTAAAATGTTCTGTTGAACACCTTGTTCAGTTCAACGAAAGGCACAATAGAACTAGAAATACTTGTTCTTATTGACTATAGGGTGACAGCAGCCTGGTAAATCTCATAGGGTCAGTGTCTCCTCTGCCAAACCATCCAAAAGGAAAGGGGTAAACAAAACCTGTTTGGGAGAGAGAGCCTCTTTCCTCATGAGGAGGAGATAATAAGTAGGGCTAATTTCCCTGGACACAGCAACCACTCAACTATGAAACTACTCATGGGCTGACGAGGTTTGTTTAATGATTTGTAGATTCAATAGAGCGAGTTTTAAAACTGGTAATAATACTTGTATAACACTTTTTATCCGCGGATTTCAAAGCACTTTACAATTATTAGTGAATTAAACCTCATTGGGCAGGTTAGTATTACTATAATACCCCATTTTATAGATGTTTAAATTAAGGCACAGAGAGACCAAGTGATTTACCCAAAACTTCATGACAAATTACTGGCAAAACTCAGAATGGAGCCTAGGATTCTTGAGCCCCAGTCCATTGTTCTGACCATTAGGCAACATTTCCTTGCTTTGTCACTGTGAAAGGCAGAATCAAAGGAAATGTTTTCTTGATCACCGTTGCCATTTCTTTATGGTGCACAAAAATATCCCCAGAGCTGGCTGTATGAACCCAAAGCTTGATTTTTATTTTAGAAGCACCTTGAATCAGGTCTTCACCCTTTTTCCTTATATTGCACATGAGCCTTGAGGCTCCTGGGTTGAAGAGCCCTCTCAGTACCAGACAGAGGGCCTTCAAAACTCATTCCAGAATGTATAATATTTCCTGTACATCAGTGGGCATCTCCAGTACATAAGCAGCAAGACTTATGGGAAAAATGCATGGTACTTATGAAGCAGGTAAGTAGACACAGAAAGATGTGACTAGCATATTGTGGAAGGGACCACTCTTGCATGCCCCCGTTGACTAGAGTTCTGCATGGAGATGGCTTGCATGGTTTTGTCTTAAATGAAAAGAATAATACCAGCAGAGCAGAGAGAAAAAGGAAGCGACAGACTAGGAGGCTGTCATTCTGGGATAACAGAGAGAGGAAGGTAAGTTGGGTAGCCTAGTTCCATTCCAGGACCCAGCCTGAGGGGAGACAGATTGTTAATAGCATAAGATGCTCAAAAATAAATCTGGGTAGAGGTCATGGAGTGGTTGTAGATGAAATAAGGCGTCAAAAAAAGAGGTGGATAAGGACAAACTTATTTTTAAAGACCTGCAAATGTGGATATCTACTTTATATCTGCAGATGTGGAAGCTGATATCCGTGGACCATTTTTGCAGATCATGGATGGATGCGGATCCAAATTTTATATCTAAAGCCCTGCAAGTCTGCGGATATCCATGGATCATTTTTGCCGACCGCGGATCAGATGTGGATACAAATTTTGGATCCATGTAGGGCTCTACTTATTTTATTAAGATGATCAGAAACTTAAAGAAGTTGCCCAGTTTCATCCAGTGGGATTTCAACCAACTTTAGTTTATTTTAACGTCTCATTATATGTACAGGTGCAAATCTCCAGACACACATGCACACTGCATTTATTTCAATGTGTAATCGTTTAAATACATATCGATGTGACACTGCATGCATGCAGAGGCACCAACTTTCTTATGTGCTGGGGGGGTGCTCTGCCGCAGGCCCCGCCCCCCACTCCACCCCTTACCCCAAGCCCTCCCCCACCCCACCTCTTCCCCCCTTACCCCAAGCCTTCCCCCACCCCACCTCTTCCTGCCCCCACTACCCCATGCCCTGCCTCTTCCCACCCCGCTTCTTCCCATCCCGTTCTGTCCCCTCCCTCCCGAGCACACCCTGCCCTCACTCCTCCCCCAGCAGCTCCGGCACACTGCGGAACAGCTGATCATGGTGCGCAGAAGGTGTGGGGAGGGAGCGGGAGGTGCTGATCAGCGGGGCTGCCGGAGGCTCTGGGGCGAAGGGGGAGCCACTGATCGGGGTGGGGGGGCTGCCAGTGAGTGCTCAGCACCCACCATTTTTTTTCCCATGGGTGTTCCAGCCCCGGAGCACCCACAGAGCTGGCGCGTATGCATACCTGAATATATAGCATCCGGAATTCTGCCATCTGTATTTATCGCATAAGTCACACAATGAACTAAGTGTAGTCAATGGGGTTCTCTTCCCCACCTCCCACGCACACTTTAAAAGTAATTCCAAGGGAAAGTCAGTGCCAGTAACTATGTTAACAGAACATTGAGGTAGAAAATTTAAATACATAAAGATGAGGCAATTTAGCACAGGAATCCTAATGTGACTGTTTTGTGCACATATGTGACATTAGGGTGAAATTCACCAATATAGAGAAGGCCAATGCAGGGCTATATATGACTTAAACCTTCAAAATGGGGCAAAAGTGGGACTTAAGTGACAGAGAATTGTGTTGGCTTCTGCAAGGGGCAAATTTCACTCTTAGCATGAACATAAATATTCCAGAATCTATAATAATGTTGAATGCGACATTCATGTATGGGGACTAATAATAGTTGCTGCAGATATAACTTTTGAATTTGCTGACTTTTGTTCATGTAAAAATCTCAATCACAGCATTGCAGTCATGCTGCTGGTTGCATAAAATATTAAACTGATAGTAAGACATTTAACTCCATGGCTACCCATGTCCTTTTTCCAATGTCAAAAATGTAAAACAGTTACAGGGTATAAACTGGGGACCAAATTTTGCATGTAATAGCTGTCTGCACAGAGACATGGTTGTGAAGGTTTCCTGCTTGTAGAAGGCTTATAGCAGCAGCCCTTACTTTCCAGAGGCAGAATACATATTCCATTCTGATTCCTCTATCAGTTGCCTTTGATACTACTGATCGTGAAGGTATTTGTAGTCACAGCCCTAGTAGGAGTAGATGGGAGTTGTTTTAAAATGGCTCTGCTGCGTTCTTTGTGAAAGATTCCTGAGGGTACTTTGGGCAATTGCCCTTCTACCCCAAGGCATCACAGGGATCGCCATTGCCTGTCTGCCTCATACAAGGCTCTGCAGTGGTCTGTTTGTTCTCACTTTCTGTTCGATGTACAGATAAAGCCATTGGGAGGGTTGGTGAGGGAAAATGGGATGTGGTATGTTCAGTATGGCATTTACATGCAGTTTACATCTTTGACACATCTGACTCAGTGGGTGAAGAGGAATGTGTTTATATGAGACTGGGCCATGGATGAGGGCTAGCTGGCTGAGAAACCGTTAAGGGAAGACTTGAGGTAATGTTGTTAGGAGGAGTTGGAAGAACAGATGAGAATGAGCTGGCTGGCAAACCAGCACCTGTGACAGAGAGACTGCATCTGCTATCTGTGACAGAGATTCACAAACTGTTGGTATTATTAGACTCAGGCCTGCTCCTAGGTGCCCAGGGAGCAGCTGTGCCCAAGAGCTTTTTGTTTCATCTGCACCTGTTGAGAAACATGTGACAGTTTTTGGGATGTGACTTTGCTATAATTATCTATGCTTTTTCACCTTGACACTAGACTACTGCAATCCCCTCTACTTGGGGCTTCATCACCCAGAGACAATCTGGAAGCTGAAATTAGTGCAGAATGTGGTGGTCCATTTATTGAGAAGTACAGCATTCTGAGAGCACATTGCTCTGAATTCTTTTAGCATTCCGGGGGAGTTCACGGTGATTGTTTTGGCCTATGTAGGCCAGGCTACTTAAGAGACCACTTCTTTCCATATTTGATACTGCCACAGCTGAAATCAGATGGAGGGCCTCTGCTTTTCATAGGAAAGGCTTTTTGACAACTTTCCCCCTGTCTCAGAGCCTGATCTTGTTAACCTTGTGCGCACACTGCAAAATCTGTGAGTGAAATTCTGGTGTGACTGCTTGCCATTAACTTCAGTGGGGCCAGGTCTTCGGCCCAGGCTGGTAATGGTTTGGGCTGAGAATTAGTAGTGGTGGTAGAACAAGAGTTATTGTTATAATTGGGGGCGGGGGGAAGAAAGGGGTTGATTGTTTTTAAGTTGCATGATCTTGGTCGGTCAGTTCAGTTATACTGGTGTATTTGGAATGTTGTTTGTATTTTGTATTTTAATTGTCTAGCATCTAGAGCTCTGCAGTGGTAGAAATAAAAAAGTTAAAATGTAGCACACATGTATGTCCTAGCTAAGGACAGACAAAAATCTAGAATGACTTGCTGAAAAGTATGAGAGTTGAACTCAAAATAGGCCAGTTAGTCATGATTATACATTTAACACACAAGCGGTGCTAGGGTTTCCCTATTTCTATTTCATGGAATTTTCCAATATGAATTTCATTACTGAGAAGTAAATAGTCTGTGACTTCCAGCACTTTAGTATTATGTTTCCAGGATCTGCGGGGGTCAGATGAAACACGCTAATATCACATCTTTGTCTCATTGTTTTAGTTTAGATATGGCAGAATGTATTTTTGGTTTTTTAAAGATTAGAAGACTTGAATGTGTAGTTCTGCTGTGCAAAGTAACTTGGTAAAACTGGCATTGTAGAGAGCTCCATGTTTGTTGTCTCTCGGGGACTCCAGATTGAATGTACTCAGTGTTCAGAGTAAAAAGATGGCTTTCTTAACTGCTAGCCCTGCAGGCACAACTTGGGATCTGAAAGAAAGCTGGGTTCCTGTATCTTCACCAGTGACAAATACTGTGTAGTCCAGCATAAACCTTTAGTGATGTCTGTGCACACTCATTGCCTTCAGATTATGTCCTCAATGACAACCACTTTGTCTTCAGAAGGGCAAAATGGGTATCAATGAAGGTAGAATTTAGCCCTATAATTGGAAATTAGGCCATATTGTATCATCCTTGGGAAAAGGCTGGGTAGAGAACAGGAAACTCAGTAAGGTTCCTCTGTGGAGTTTCCACCACATTGTTCCCTCAGGGCTTTAGAAGAATCAAAGTATTCAGCCCACAACCACCATCTGGAAGCAACCACCTGGGTTGAAGTCCATTGCCTCTGCATTCCTTCCCAGCCCCACTGGCCCATTTCAGCTCACTGACATGTAGCTCCGCCCTCTTTTCAAATGCAGATCCCCAAACCATCCCCATGGAAGGGCTTCTGGGATGGTGAGGGAAAGGAAAGAATGATGGTGCAGAGGAAGCATTCACTGGATTTCTGTCCCCGCTGCTGGGGAAAGGGATGATTTAGGTCTTAATTAATCCTTCTTTTGACGATGCATGAGCCAGAAAAGAGTCCAGCTTGCTCTCACTTAGCTATGCAGGTTCTGCAGGGCTAATAGGAGTAAACAGCAGTGAAAGTTTATTTTTGCCACCAAAAGGGGTAGATCTGACTCTGAATACACACACGCAGCAGGTTTGTTCAGCAAGAAAGTGCAATTTATTATTTTTAAAAATTGTTTATCTATAGAGTAGAACTGCATTAGATATTTAAGACATAGACAAGATGGCTAAATGTGTGTGAAAATTCATTCTCAGATGCCAAGAAGGGGTTTATTAATAACATTGTATATCAGATACAATAATAACAGATATAAACAGTGTACATCTTACCAGGCTAATGAAATAGAAATAGAAACATGCTGCCGAGAGAGAAACTTAAATAAACAGAGATTAAAGTTGGCACTTTCTACCTACAGCAAACAACATAATTCTCCTTCATCAGTATCTTCCCATGTCCCCTTTGCCTCTTGTACAGTATAGGCCTTATTCAGCTTTGTATTCTCCTAATGTGGGCAAATCTTCCATTGATCAGAGGTTGATTTGCCAGAGTAAGGAATGCTGACCAAAGTCCATATAGATTAGCATAATTAACATCCAACTGTGTCTGAGGATACACACTGCCCTGGCCAGTACCATATCTGGTTATTGATTTCTATGTAGGAGACTGAGAACTGAAGGGCCTATTTAACACAATAGCCAGCAGATGGCGCTGTTTATCATTTATTGACACTTTAACAGCTGTGTAAAAGGATTATGAAATAGCTTTTTCCCCCCTCTTTAATTTAGAAAGTATTATAACGAAAGTGTTTTCAACTTATTATTATGCATGAGTAAAAAATCCATGAATGTGTAACATTTTCTCCTGTATTTCCTTTTTTATAACATCATTTAAATTCCTTATTAATAATTTAAAAATGTTCTGGATTTTAATCACTTTTCTCATCACTAAAATATCTGATGGAGAGATCTTCTTTTTTTCCTGAAGGTGAGATAGAGGGAAACCATCAGGGAAGGAAAAAAATAATAATGGAAAGCCACTTGTAATTCCAAAGAAGGTCTATCCAACCCCATCTTGTTAGTCATTTGGTAATGGCATTTATGTAGTTAATAAAATCATTTCAGGTTCATGAAACTCAAGATTTGAATAGTTTGCCGTTAATAAAAAAACAATTTTTTTCATCCAAGTTTAATTATGGTGGTGTTTGTTTGATAGCTTGTTACTGTAAATAAAAGAGATAAAAGCAGCCCTTCACTCGAGTAGCTCTAGAGCTGTGAAATATGTACCTAATTAAAACTATTGGTGTAAGAGGCTAATAAAGTACATGTGCCTACTAGATGTCTTATTCTAATGAATCTCGGCTAATTTGCTTTGAGTGATGAATTTCGGTGTTAGTAGTAGGGGCTGAATAATTATGAAATTTATCACAAGATACAAGGACTCATTAAGG